ACTGTATCATTGTTTCACCAGTATCAGTAATTGCATATTTAACAAATAGACAGATCTTAAGAAATCAATAAAAAATGATGAAAAGATTATTCATAAAAGAAGAAATGTGCCCTGGTGTGGTAGCTCAGTTGGTCGAAGCATCATCCTGATATTCCAAGGTTGTGGATTCCATCCCCATTCAGGGCGCACACAAGATCAACCAATGATTGCATAAATAAGTGGAAGAACAAATCAATGTTTCTCTTTCTCTCTATCCCTTCCTCTGTCTCTCAAATCAATTTTAACAAAGAAGAAATGCAAATAACCTATATAATTATGAAAAAATATTTAACTCATAGAATTGCAATTAAAAACCATAAGGCACCATTTTCACCATTACAAGATAAATAGAATGTTTATATCAAATAGAGAAATTATCTAGTTTTTATTCCATTGATGATTGATTCTGTCAATCTTTTTGTAGGATTATTGGGCACGATATTTTTTAAAACTTAAGATTTTATATATAGTTATATATCTTTTGAGCTATGGTTTTTCCTTCGATGATTGCACCTTAAGAAAATAACCATAAATATGAGCAAAAATTTCACTAAAAATATATTCTTTCAGCATATTACACAAGGACCTATAGAGAGATGGTGACTTTCAAGGGCCGTTCTTCTCTATGTGTTGGCTTAGCATTTCGCATATGTCCAACTTATGACACCTCCATGTGACAACAGAGAGAGAGAAGATTCAATGCTTCCACTCCAAAATGACATACGCCACTTCAACTCACATTTTATTTGCCAAAGTCAGTGGTCACATCCAATCTCAAAGGACCATAAAGTAAGTCATGTAGTGGGCCTGGAAGCAGAGGGGAATTGGATATTGATGAGTAATAGTATTGCTTACCATGCAGTGGTATTGTTAAGAGTTTAAAATGATAAAATCATTTGTAAAAATTGTGTGTGTACGTGTGTGTGTGTGTGTGTGTGTACACATAGATATAGACAGATGTACATATGCATATATAGAGTCAACAGAGAATCTCTCAGGCTTGCAATACTGAGAATTAATTTTCATTTTCTCTTTTCCTGCATTTTTAACATTTTCCACAATGAGCAAGTGTTATAATAAAAAAATCGAGTTGTAACATTTAAATAAACAGTAACAAAGAAACATGTTGGAAATATTTTCTTTTCCTTGGTAAATGTATATTATATGTCTACAGCTGTTTGAAGCCCAGATTTTTGGATCTTTTAAGCAAGCAATGTTCTTTAAATTTTACCCTTTGCCATTTTTGATGATTTCTATTTCTTTCTGCACTGCTTTGTTCAGGTCCTTAAGCCGAATAAATCATTAAACTTTTGTTTGAGTGGTAGTCTTTAATTTCCATTCCAGTAAGATGGTGCTCAATGTGCGCGATTGAACCATGATTATAGTAGCATTACTCCTCTTAAGAAGACATAGGAAAGGACACATGGAGTTAAGTGTGTTCTGAAGGCATGTGAGCAATTGCCACTGAAGTGATTTAAGATATGACCTTTTCTCTTGTATTCTCAACCACAAGTGTTCTTAAAGGGGAGAAAAAAAGAAAGAAGGAAAAGAGCTTCGTGCATTTTGATTATTATAGGACCTGACCCCATTTTGCTTAGCAAAGAAATTTGAAGTTTGAAATATAACCCTGGATTCCACTTCATTCTTGCCCCTTAGAATTCAAGTGACTGTGTTGGTAGAGGTGAAAGCCCTGCTTGACTTAGGTGTCCTGTAAGTCCAGCTGAACAGGGCCCTTTCAGAGGCTGTTGGCTATTTCCCTGAGCTTACACAGCCGATCTGCACCCTGTAAGCATGGTGCCTGTAGTATAACATTGAGATTAATGAGTTGAATCTGCTCTAGATGACAGGGTCTCCGGGGTGCATCCAGACCAGCCAACACACAGAACTGCTCATGTGTATAAAGCTGCCTCTTTAGAGAGATATATTTGGATATTCACAGGTTCTGATGAGAAGCTTACTCTCTTTCGGATTTGGGGACCCAGAAGGAGGACTGTATGGTCTAGATTCAGTGATGGCGAACCTATGACATGCGTGTCAGAGGTGACACGCGAACTCACTTTTTTGGTTGATTTTTCTTTGTTAAATGGCATTTAAATATATAAAATAAATATCAAAAATATAAATCTTTGTTTTACTATGGTTGCAAATATCAAAAAATTTCTATATGTGACACGGCACCAGAGTTAAGTTAGGGTTTTTCAAAATGCTGACACGCCGAGCTCAAAAGGTTTGCCATCACTGGTTTAGATAGAAGCTTGCATCTCTTTCACTCCTGGAGAATGTTGCTAATCTGTCTACTGTGAATCTTGATTTTATTAGCTTTTGTTCTGAATCTCTACAATAAACAGACCCTATTTAATTTACCAAACAATATCTGTGCCTGTTAGCTCATCAATCTGAGCCAATTATTTCCATTTATCAATATGGAGGCCATGAAAGAATGGAAAAGAACTTGAGCTCACTTAAACATAAAAATTGGATTTACTTTAAGGATACACACAGAGATACCCAAAATATGTGTTCTAACTCTGAGAGAGAGAATCAGAATGGTGTTTCTTAGGTCAGGGAACTTAGGACTCCATGTCCAATAAATAGAGACTTGGTTCAGTGTAACAAATTCAATTGTATCAGCTGATATCACTCATGGATGATGTGAGGCAGTTTTCAGGGAAGGGTGATTGTGAATTATCTAGTAAATCACTACATAGAGAGGGCATGCTATTGAGAACTCTTTAGAGGCTCCCATGGTAGGCATACCAGTCTCCATTGGTGCTCAATTCCCTTCCTATGGTGCATGGAATATTGCATCCATCAGCAACCATGCAGGTAAGTGAGGCCATGTGATTAGTTCTGGCCAAATGAAGAGTGGGTCAAGTGAAAGATGTCACGTCTGGGTGGAAGCAATAAAATTATATAATTATCTAGTCGTGCTCTTCCCTGATGAATCAACCAAGAAGGCTGCACAGCATGGTGGCATCTCCAGCAGCCTGGAGTTTGAGGTCATCCCATGGAGAATGGTTGCCCCCTGGATAGATACCTGGCTCAGTAACTAAATTTGCTTCAATGAGACATACAGCTTTGTGGTATTAAAACACTCAGATTTGGGGGTTGTTTCTATAGCAAAACCAGTCTATCTTGACTAACTTACTCTGTAAGTCATCTCTAGGCTGCATTGAAGTCTAGCTTTGCAGACTCTTTGATCTGGCTCCTAGTTCAGGCCATTGATGAATGCTGATCACTGCTCTAGTCCATTCGACACTAGGTCTTCCAAATCACTCAGCCACCAAAGGACTATATCCCATCTCTAAGACCCTTAAACCAAAGAGCTGCTCTGATGAAGTTAGCTGCTGTACCACTCTTCAGATGTGTTCTTTTGTCTTTCAATCTTTATTCTGTAAAGTGTTTATAAGAATGGGTTTTGGCTTCAGATGAGCTTGGGTACAAATCCAGCCTCTACTATTTCTAGCCAAGAAAATGGAAGAAATAAGAAAGTTGCTTCATCTCTCTAAAAGTTTTGTTTCCTTATAGAGATGGCATTAGCATTTACTCATAGACTTGTTGAAAAGGTAAAATGAGATGATGTGAATAAAGTACCTGGCAGGAAGTGCTGTCACAAAGCTCATGCTCCTTAAATCTGGTTATTATTGGTCTTATTAGCTCTTCCCCAGTTCAGGGTCAGTTTCCAAATCCTTAAGTACTTTCCTTATGAGTCACCTTATGAGTCACCTTATAGCCATGATCACCTAATTCTGGAAGACATGGGATGACCTGACATCGTATTCCAAAATCTTCATCTACTGGCCTTTTCCTTGGAGTTTAAAGCTTGGGATTTTACCTTCTTAAATAGAGGCTCATTAAAGAAACAGGTGCCAGTGACTTCGTTTCCTATCTCAGTGTATGTGTTCCCAAGCAATCCGTTGTCTAAACAGGAAGTAGGAAAGAATAAGCAATGTGCCTACACCCCTTTGGTTATTGGTTCAGCTGATACTGGTGGGCTATGCTTTGAAGAGTGAATCCTCTTTATTTCCTGCCTCTTATTTTTTTAAAAATATATTTTTATTGATTTCAGAGAGGAAGGAAGAGGGAGAGAGAGAGAGAGAGAGAGAGAGAGAGAGAGAGAGAGAGAGAAACATCCATGATGAGAGAGAATCATGGATTGGCTGCCTCCTACAAGTCCCCCACTGGGGATCCACAACCCAGGCATGTGCCCTTGACCGGAATTGAACCTGGGACCTTTCAGTTCGCAGGCCGATGCTCTATGCACTGAGCCAAACCAGCTAGGGCCTGCCTCTTATTTTTCTTTTTTTCTCCCAATCAAAACAAACTTTATTAACATATATGTATATGTAAAATGAAATATTTATATAAATCAAGTATGTTCTCAGAATTATAGAAACTAACCCAATGTTTTTCAAGTTCACATAACCTAGAAGTTCCACTTCTAGGTACATACCCAAAAGAAATGGAAACATGTTCACACAAAAAACTTGTACACAATGTTCATAGCAGCGTTATTCATAAGAACCTCAAACTGGAAACAACCCAATATTCATCAACTGATGAATGGGTAAACAAAATGTGGTATGCCCACACACTAGAATATAGCATACATAAAACTTTAAAATGTTATGCTAAGTGAAAGAAGCCAGTCACAAAAGACCAGATATTATGACTGCATTTATGTGAAATGTCCCCCCCGCCCATAGGCATATCACTGGAAGCATATCCATACAGAAATCAGATTAGTGACTGCCTGGGGCTAGGGCGGGAGGACAGGGAGGGGGCACTGGGAAAGAGAGGCAACTGTTAATGGTTATGGGTTTAAAGTCCTACAATTGGCTCCTCTCTGAGGGGGCGTGGCTAGGCCCTGGGGGCGTGGTTGGACTCTTGGGCGAGGTGAGCCAGCTTAAAGCCTGGCTGAGGCACAGCTGCCCACTCTGGTGGCTGTTACCTTTGGAGGTATGGAGGAGTGCGCTTGCCTCTGCAGCGTGGGCTCTTCGCGGGGATGTCGGTGTCCTCAGAAGCGCCAGCGCCCAGTTGAGATGGCAGCGGCCGAGGGCAAGCGGTGTCCTCAGAAGCGCCAGCGCCCAGTTGAGATGGCAGCGGCCGACGGCAAGCGGGCCCCAGCAAAAAAGCACATCGAGGGGGATGTGGCAGCGTGGTGCTGTGCGGGGAGTGGAGGAATTGCGAGCCCCATGCCAGCCCCGCACTGCTCGCTGCAGGACCTGCCGGTGGAGATGCTGGTGGAGATCTTCGCCTGGGTTCCTGGCACCCACCTGCCCAGACTGTCCCAGGCCTGCACCAAATTCCACCACATCCTGCACATCGACAGCATCTGGAGAAGGCGCTGCCACGAGGAGTTTGGCGTTCGTGAAAACTTGCAGAACCTGGAGATGATGGGTATGTCTTATCGAGAAGTCTATGCGAAGCTGTTCCCATACAGAAACATTTTGGGATTGTGGCAGCTAGATAATGAGTACTATAGAACACTAGTGAATGTAGTGGTGGACGGCTTCTGCATTACTGGTTGGAAATACAGGCCTTCCCTTCACACCCATGTGGGTGGCCCAATACATTTCAAGCCCTCGTTCAGAATTCGCCTGACGGAGAGGAAATCAGCCACGGTGGAGTGCATGGAAGGCCTCGACAGCAGGCCCCACAACCGCCACATGCAGATTCAGAAGGACAGGTTCACGACCCGGTGCAAGAATACAGACCACGGAACGGATTTACCAACGTGGCTTAGGGAAGAAGGGGGGCCGGTGCTGGAGGACAGACAGCAGTATGACTGGCTGACCTACCGCCGCCTCTATCTCCCGCCGAGACACCCGGACGACCTCATCAGGCCAGGCCTCTTCCAATACTACTACGATGCCTTCGGCCTAAAGATTGCCATGCTCAGCTTCCATGGGAAGTATGCCAGGGTCACCAAGATCACGGGAGTCTCCAAGAAGACGTTAGAGATCCACCTCATGCGCCGCATCCAGCTGCGAGATGGCGAGATCTTTCACAACTTCAATGAGCTCTCCCGCGTCGTCCAGGAGATTGACGAGCAGGTGATCCGGGAGCAGCAGCAGCAGCAGCAGCAGCAGCAAGAAGATGGGACTGAGGAAAGCCAGGGCCATGGCTGGCAGAGCCCTGCCCAGCCCAGCGTCGGGGAGTCCGGGGCTGCAGCTTTGGAGGAGCAGCCTGTCCCGTTTGTTCTGCCTGTGGGCGTGCGCTCAAGAGACCAGAACTACCCCCAAACCTGCAGGATGTGTTTCTATGGCGTGGACACTGTTACCTTACCTGGCTTAGCCTACCACAGGCGCTTCCCTGGAGTCTTCATCCTGTTCGATGAGAACCACTTCGGGTTCATCTGGCTGGAGGCGAAATACTTCTTCCTGTGTGGCAGAGTACAGAACAGCTTCCAGAATGTGGAGGCACCATCCCCGCAGGCTTTCCTGGAGATGCTCAAGAACATTCAGTCCATGCCCTAACCGGTTTGGCTCAGTGGATAGAGCGTTGGCCTGTGGACTGAAAAGTCCCAGGTTCGATTCCGGTCAAGGGCATGTAACTTGGTTGCGGGCACATCCCCAGTAGGAGGTGTGCAGGAGGCAGCTGATCGATGTTTCTAACTCTCTATCTCTCTCCCTTCCTTTCTGTAAAAAATCAATAAAATATATTTTTAAAAAATCAATTGTATAAAAAGAAAATAAAATAAAAAAATTCATGAGAATGTTTAAAAATTGGACCCCTCGTACATTGCTGGTGGAAATGTAAAATAGCAGGGCCACGTTGGAAAACGAGAGTCACCAGATGGCCCAGAAGTTCCACTTCTAGGTACATACCCAAAAGAAATGGAAACATGTTCACACAAAAAACTTGTACACAATGTTCATAGCAGCATTATTCATAAGAGCCTCAAACCGAAACAACCCAAATACTCATCAACTGATGAATGGGTAAACAAAATGTGGTATGCCCATACACTAGAATATAGCATACATAAAACTTTAAAATGTTATGCTAAGTGAAAGAAGCCAGTCACTTATTTTTCTTTAGTTCACCCATCCTGTGTCCCAGCCATTCTGAACATTTATCATTTCCTCCAGAGCCATGCTTTGCTTACCTACCAGCATTCACGCATATTCCTTAGATTTATTTAGATTTGATAATCTCTGGTGCTGGAGTTGTCACTTTACTCTCTAAACATCAGTTTCCTTTCATTCAAAATGAGAATAATGATACCCACATCACTGAGTTAAAGTGAGAATCAAATAAGACAATTCATATACAACACTTAGCACAATAAAGGTGGCTATTAATAAAATACTTTCCTATTGCAGGATCATTAGTCAGGGATCCACACTGTAGTTTCTGCATGTGAACAATTGTCTTCATTTAACTCTGGATCATACTCCATTTTCAGTTTTGAAATCCTGGAGAACCCATCTTTGAATCGTAATTTCTATATTTCCTGTCCCTTAGAGAAGGACCTTTTCTTCCAATAAACTATTTGAGTAGCTTTCACACTTATGGAATATACCAATTTTTCGTGCACATATTGATATTTTTAAAATTTCTTATTATCAACTAAGTTATCAGGTCCTTAATTATAGGGCCATGTCTTAAAGCATTTTTATCTCTACAGTTTCTTAAAAGAACAAGAGCTCAGTCTAGCTGGCGTGGCTCAGTGGTTGAGTGTCAACTTATGAACCAGAAGGTCATGGTTTGATTGCCAGTCGGAGCACATGCCTGGGTTGTGGGGTTCAATTCTCAGTGGGGGGTGTGCAGGAGACAGCCAATCAAAGATTATCGCTCACCATTGATCTTTCTACCTCTTTCTCCTTTCTTTTCTGAAATTAATAAAAATATATTTTTAAAAAATTGAAAAGAAAGAACAAGAGCTCAGATAAATCTGATTCTGATGGTGATGACAATTGCTTTTCCTTGACCATGACTTTAAATTTCCCAAGGTAATGCCCTGATTTTCAAACTTTTATTTCAGTCATGAAACCCTATTGGCAATACAATATTACAGAACTGCAGTAGATATTACAGGTCATAGCTGAGCTACTCTCCATGAAATAGGGGAGGGGCTCAGAGTGGTTCACTTTCCATCTCTCCATCCCCTATTCACAGAGTGACAGGACTCTAGGAGTCAGAGGAGCTGGCATGGAGTCCTCCTCAAAGACAAGGCAGGTGAAGATCTTGGTCCTGTCACTTTAACCATGGTGACCTTCAGCTACCTCATCTCCAAAACAGAGAATTGTTTGAAAAATGGAAGTAAGAAGGCAATACAAACATATTGGCATTAATGCTGTTGCTTTACATTTTAGAGTGAGCGAAGCTCTCTGCGGTCCTATATCCTTTGTGCTCAAATGTGGTGTGACATGAGAAAGGTCCAGGGTCTAAAACCAAGGTAACTATGAGAAAGAAAAATTGACAGTGTCCTGATTTTTTTAAAAAAAATCTCATTGGGTAGAAGGCATAGGCTTGGAAGAGCTAGTCTAGCTTCAAGTGTAGTAGAAAGGAGAGGAGTGGATTGGGGACATCATTTCTACAAGTCTAGGAATTGGCCTACACACCTTCCTTCTCTTTTCCTCTACCTCCATCTTGCCCCAGGGTAAGTGCTCCATCTTACCTTGGCCATGTGCTTGGCAAGGAGCTTCTTCCCGGAAGTCTAAGCCTCTGCTAGCCACACCCAGGAACAAGACACCGACTTGTGCCTGGCCAATCGGCAAGGCCACAGCCCTTTCTCCTCCCCTTACTCCAACCCCCTATAAAACCCCTCTCCACACAGAGTTCTCTCTATCTCTGCCACTTGGCTTGCCGTTGAGTCGGTAAGGAGGGTAGGGGAGCCAAACCCGGGTTTGAAATACAGGCTCTTATGCTTTTGCATCGGACTGGCTGGCTCCCTGTTGGTCTGCTAGGGATCTTGAAATCTGGGCATAACAGGGACATCATTTCTACAAGTCTAGGAATTGGCCTACACACCTTCCTTCTCTTTTCCTCTACCCCCTAGTCAAGTCCTCTCCCACATTCTCCTTTTCTTCTCATTTCCCCCATTCCCATTTTAAAAGGGCTCCTATACTGACCTCAGATGACTAACACAGGATAACATTCCTGGAATATTTCTCAAGTATAAATGACTCAATTTCAGGTATTTTCATATATTTAGAAATACCAAAACCAGGTGTTGCCTCATCAACATAGAGCTGCCCATAGGAACAGAATTGTTGTGAAAAAACAATGGGAAGATGACCGGGTTTTTTAAATAGTATGGCCCTGCATGGGTGTAAGTCACCAGCAAAGAATCTTGTGAAGGTTTGAATTTGCTTTTTTCTTCCTATCTGGCTCACCATGCTTTCTCAGGCTGGATGCTGAATAGTAAGCTAATGTCCTTGTCATCTCCTTCTGGGACAATGTTTGATAGAGGCAGGGCTCCCCGATGGTGGCCTGGAGCATTCTCCTCCACCCATTTTCCTGAACGCTCACAGAGCAGGAAAAGCATGTTCTATCTTATTAGATTTCAGAGATGTGGACATGGTACAATATTCCTGATTCAAAATTGTCAGCTAAAAAGGGAGGACTAAAGTATTGGGTAAGTAATTTTGAAAAGATATTGAGTGAAAAGGGAATAAGATAGTTGCAAGGGCTTTGATCAGGAAGGCCGCTGTATTTCTTACCCATTATTCTTATTAAAAACAAATTGATTACACCTCTTTATATTCCCAATGAGAAGGTCATTGACATGCCTGGTATGAATGGAACCAGCTCAGGGTTTTTCTGAGTCAGGCAAAGAGAAAAAGGCATAGAGGGAGGTGGGGGAGGACTACTGTTTACATTTGGAGAAAAATAATTTAATACCTTGATATACCATATAAATGGGCCAAAGAAATAAATGAAAAAGTCACACCAGAGAAAATTTAAATAGCAAACACACTAACAAGTGTTCATCTTGTCTTATGTAGTTCACACAGCTGTGGGCATGAAATAGTGAAACTATAAACTCTTAAACTGTGCAGGTGGGTAGGATTTTTAGTAATGTTTCTGGGGAAGTACTCTTGGGATGCACATTTCTACCTAATTCAGGTTCATGTGAGAGTTACCCTTCCTACCTTTTTTTTTGGAATTACTCTCCTCTGGAATCTCCCACTGTTTGGAACTGGTTTGTCACTTGCAACTCTCCTTTCTTTGCAAATAAACTCTGCAGTAATAACAGTTCTCATTTGGGATAGGGGGGTACACATCAGTCACCAGGCATTTCTCTAAGCATTCCTGTGTTAATTTGATCATTACTATCACCCTACCATTTAGGTCTTCTCCTTCTCCATCTTCTTCTCCTATAGGTAAGGAAACTGAAGCATACAGAGCAAGTCGTTTGCCCAAGTAACAGAGCTGGGAAATGCCTGAGCTGGAAATCAAAACAAGGCAGGCTGACTTTGTATCCCATATTCTATCTCTACATATTTATCTCTTTACCTTTTCACTGAAGCCTCTTTCTTCCTTCTTAACTCAACTTCCCCCATGGCATAAAATACCTATTTAGGAATGCCCCCAGGGAATGATTCAGTGGTCAAATATTAGTACAAATGAAAACATTTGGATAAAACACTTTTCTACTCCACAGGATTTCCTGAAATTGTTTAGCTAGTAACATGATTCTTTTGGAAGAGGGTGTATCATGCAGCATATTTCAAACTTATCTGATCAGGGAACCTTTTATTTGACATTATTTGACTGAGCTTCTTCAACATCTGGGGGAGGTACTGTTGTGCAGGACACAACTAGGGACACTGTTTTACCTAAATAGCAGCTGGACCTGAGCAGATACTTACTTCCCCTTTGGCTGGAGGCTGAGTTTTCTCCCACACTTCACATCTCATGGAGATGCAGGCTTAGGGGAAGTTCTCCTAGCTGTTTCCAACCCATTGCTCTTTGATCTGCATGATAATGAAAGCCCTCTTCCTTTGAGGCTAATGACATTCATCCATCCCGCTGTTACTACTTCTCATTGCTTTTATTTGCTTAACTCTTGACCTCTTCCCTTCTTCACTGAAGACTTTAGCAATTGCAGAGCTATTTTCCTCTC